GAAGAGCTACCGTACAGTGGAAATGAATGGATTATTTATTATTTAAACGCCAAATTTATCGGAGAAATGATATTCATTATTCTCTGACCAAATCGTGTGCAAATCGCGTTAAATTCGATCGTTTCTTCAGGAATTCGCAAATGTAATCGTCGAATAAAAGTGCCAGCGATTAAAGTCTCTACATGTCTAAAGTTATCATTTATTATGAAAGAATACTCGTGCAAAAATCGTACAGTTGACAAATCGAAATTAACTCGTTATCTAAATTGAAACAACTCGGGACCGAAATATTTTATTCCTTTCAATTCCAAACACAATTGAATTAAATTGATTTTTTACGAGTATCTAAAAAATGTATAAATATCTGATGTATTAATAAAAGTTGTCTGTCTCGCGTAATTAAGACGGACGGATGGATGAGTTGCGCGAAATGAGAAACGAGAAATTTCATATGTGCCGAGACAAATAATGACAGAATTCTATTCCTTTCGAACTGGAAATCGATAAGACCGCGTTGCGGAAGTACAAGGATTATTTATTGCCCGAGAGATAGAACCCGCCTGAAAAGCACAGTGCCAGTTTTTTAGTCTTATCGACGTTAGCCGCGTATTAAAGCGACGCGACGGGGACAAAGAAGAATGACGGAGTGTTTATAAATGTATCGACAGTGAGAGGAGCGAGGCAATAGTTTGACGCGCTATTTATGAGAATGCTTAAGCGTGCACCTTATTTATTATCAAAGCGTGCTACAAAGCCGCAACGTGTGCGCTTAATGATTTTAATATATTGTCAAAGTCAATAACGCCGATGAGTCGAGAGAAATCACACAAAATATAACGCGCAAACGCAAAATAATAAAATATCACATATTGATTTCGATAAATTTGAATATTTTGCGCGAGATATATAAACATGTATGTATTTATATATTTGCTTGTACAAATAAAAATATTCGACATAAATAGAGAAATGTATACTCGCGTGTATGTATGTATGTATATGTATGATAAACCATTATGATTGATTTTGTTTCTCGTTTTGGCCTCGTGCGATTTCATTACTCGATGAAAAACATCCTTTTTCGAACGATAATACCGCTAACAATGAATTTTCACGGCGATACGTTTGTGAAATTTTGTATCCGACATTTGTTGTTCTCATTCTGTCGCCGCGATAAGTGCGTTATTCGACCGTTGACGAATATTTCGCCGAGCTTTATGATTTCGGCGCGGCGTTTTCACGATGCATCAGCGGCAAACGGAAAATCGCGATTTGTCATTTCCAGTTTGCTTTATGGCCTGACCGTGTCAGTTCTCGTACGAGTCCGCGATAAATCGTTATCATAGAGTTCGGTTCCCTCCTCGTTCAGGATCGTAAAAAAATATCGCAATAAAGACGTCGGACGGTCTATATTAAATTTGCGACTGTATAAAAATGTGCTCTTCACACGTCGCGTCGCGGAGATATCAAATTATTCACCCTCAGAGGGACAGTATCTTCTCACGAAGAAGACTATATTTCCATTAATACATGTCATTTTTTCACTTTTGCGTCGTCAAATGAATATTAAAATGAAAATGTTATTAATCAATTATATGTCACGTTTGAATGAACATTTCCGGAAAGTATAAAACATTTTCTACATCAAGATGATTAGATTGCAAATATATATTTGTTATTAAAATCGGCGTTAAAATTTTTTCTTGATATATTTCACACAATATAAACAAATGACCAAACATAATTACTTGGAGTAAATAGTCTAATGAAATAGACCGAATTTGATTTTCATTCTCGTTAATTCCATGCGTCACAGGGAATGACTTGAAACAACAGAACGAACTGGCAAGATTCGCGCTTGATAGCGAGTGGTTCTTCGCACGGGAGTCTCGAAGGGCTGGAAACTGTCACGGACGTGGCGAAGTGTCGAAACCGGGTCGTAAGTAAAATGAATTTAACATTTGGCGTTTATATGCGGCCTGCAAACTGTGCGCGCCGTGGGAACGAGCTCGACAAACTCGACGTCGCGCGAGTTAGACGCGATGCCTCGGCATATACGCCTTAATATCTAGCGTATATACACAAACATCCACATCTCGGTTTCTACATATTACGGCGACGACAGGGAAATAGTTGCCGCGTGTCGACGACAAAATTTATCACCCGCATAACGAAGAGACGTATAAAATCACGTGGAGAGACACGCGGTTACATGGATTTACGGTGACGTTTGGTCACGAAAATCACCGTTGCGTTGCATTCCGTTACGTCAAACTTTATTGGCATTTACAACATTACCGTGATTTTAACAGCTCGTCGTGTGCAAAAATTACGATTGCTTGTGCGAATCTGAAACTTCCGAATCACCCTCGTTAGGCAGATTGCCAGCTTTAAATTTGAAATTAAGGGAATACTAGCAAACTTGTACAACCTGGGGGATGTAACGAGAATTTTGGAGATTTCATATTAAAACTGTATAAAACTTTTTGATAATTGATAATTTAATAATTAATGGGGAAACTTACGAGAGATTAAGTTATGACAAAGAGGCGCGATGATGAATACTCCTCTCTCTCTTCTTGCTTGAGGCGCAATTTTCTACGGAGCGGAAACATCCAAATGCAAATGTCGCGGTTATTATGCGGGGAATGTTATAAAAAGGACAATTAAGGATAATTAGCGTGTAACCGTAAAAGTATCTCAACCGGAAAAGTACGTATCGTAAATTGCGCACCTTGGAGGGAAGACAACGGCAATTTATTTAGCGCCGCGAAATGTAATTATCCTTGCTAACGCACGTTGAAATATCCACGACACAATCTACGAGAGCGTTCGTCGAGATCGTTCCATTAACGGCGACCGCCACGGGTTATCCGCAATTCGGATATAATTGACTGGAAGTTAGTTTGGTCAAAAAATTTTTTTCCATCCTTGGCTCTGCGCTATAAAATTAATATCTAAAAATCTAAATTCGCGTCTCAAAAATCCAATGACGCGTGTGAAATAAATTAATTTTTCAACCACACCAGGATGAAAACGATTATCCTTGCGCGCTTTTTTCTATTAAAAATCACAATGTTAATGCACATTGTGGTTTAATTTTATACTACTTGCGAGAGAAGTTTGACTTCAATTATAGTGAGAAATAATATATAAGCGTAGTTTGCAGATTATCGAAAAATTTGTGTGACAAAGTAACTAAGATCGAGCGAGGTAGCCCTTCCGACATTATAGAAACAATTACCGTTGTCGGTTCGGCGCATGGAAATAGCGTTACGGTAATACTGCGTCAAGATCGCTCCATTAATGGCGATCACCTCAAGTTACCCGCAATTTGGAAATAATTGAATAGAGCAAGAATCGATTCCGACGATTCGAGGTGTACGCGTTACTTCCGCACGTTATTCGACTCCCGGGATATTGTGTGTTTATGGAAAATTTATAATTAATTAACAGTAAAGACACGAAAAAATTAATGTTTGATATCGAAAATTAATGCAAAGGAATATAGAAAACGACGTTTTCCCTGTCTCGACAATCGCGGAAATCTCCAAAGTATTTCGTATTTCTCAAATGTAAATGAAACAAAGATACTGTTGCAGGCTGGAATTACGCTCATGTTCTTTTTCCGGAGTGCTGGATATCTCCCTGTGATACACCTTCCTATCTTACTTTATTTTTTTTTTCTTGTCGCGGATCTAGCTCACACATACGTCGGTGCGTGTGATATACGTGTGTCGTACGTGGTGTAACATGTAATGCTATATATCATATATATATATATATATGCCTATGTTATGTATATAGATCCGAGCTGAAACTACGAAGCGTGAGAACGGCTATCTATGGAGCATCGCTATTGTGTGTTGCATTTGTGAGTCTTGTGTCGGACAGAAGAAGCCGCGTGGTGTTGCCCGTTTTACGGGCGCGGGATAAAAGGTCTATCTGGTCTCTCTCGAAATCGGGACCGGGAAAGGAGTGGTGTTGAGGCGGTTCGAGACTCTTATGGTAGCGAAGGGTGGTCCTGATGGCGAACGGACACCGAAAGTGGTTTGCTTCATTTGCGATGCTGATAGAACGCCGAAGAATTTCATGATCCTCCGCTCGTTTGCCGAGGGTCGACGAGGCGTAAATGGAATTATACGTATATATATACTCGGTAGTTTTCTCTGCTGAAAATTTGGCCCGTCGCGAACTCTCTCGTTAAGCGAGAATGAGACGCGCCCCGCGGTCATAATTGGTAATTGGACGGTAATTAAGCGGACGTGAGCTACGTTTTTATCGCGTTGCGATTTCGCCGATAATTTAATATAGTGTTTTATTTTTATAATTATACTTATTGATACAAAAATATGCATCCGCGAAAATTGTATAAATACCTATAAAAATTAATCAGAGAATTTAATTGGAACACGGTATTGCGAATTCAATAATCTCGAACAATAAATGTAACATTATTTTATTTGAATTATTAAAAAATGTATATATATTCGCTCTCTCTATTTTCTTGCACTGATTGCGCAATTTGCGCTATTTTAAATTATTGAAATATATAATCGATTGTAAAACGATTATAAAAATGATCAATGTTTTCAATTCCAATAAAGCGACATCAAACGCAAATCGACTGGTATGAAAATCTGCTGCTATTCTGTGCACCGATAACTAACCGAGAATTTTATACGGACCTTTATTTCACATATTACCGTCATTATTCATCGAACGGTCAATGGGAATATTTCCGACGAATTTTCCATCGGAAATCACACGAAAATACAATCTTCCCTCTTGTCGCGCCCACATCGGCAACCACATCGGTCGCATTTGGTACAGCCACATTTCGCGGTCCCTAGCCTCCTTTCACCCTCCGCTTCCGGTTGGCTCGAGTAAAAGCGCGTAATAGCTCATTCGGAAGAGATTGAAGGGATCGATAATATAATCTTGGTGCTCTCGGTGTGTACTGAGAGTGTGTCGGTGTGTAAGTGGAGATAGTAGTGTACCTGGTTGCCGTCGTAGGTCCAGGATCCGAACTTCATGTCACAGTGTTGGTCGTCAAAGGGGAACCAAGTGATGTCTATCTTGCATGTGCTCTTGAAGATGCCCGGAGGGACGTACAGGCAACTGCCGTTATGCGTGACCACCACGTTTGTTTGGTACGTCCCGTCGAAACCCTCATCCGCACTAACGTTTTATATCATACTTCCATTAATTACCCTCGTCAGTCGTCGACCGTTTCGCGGCCGGTAGTTTAATCGCGCGCCTCTTTAATCATCGCGTCACGGAGCGTCGTCGGTTCTTGTTAAATACCGCCGGCAAGACCTCGCGCGAAAGGAAATTGAAGAACGCGAATGTCGTGTTTGCGTCGAGGAGACGAATGGGATACCAGAGGGAAGAAAGGGAGTTCTCCATTCTAATTACATTTACTTGTGACGTTGCGATATTCGTGCAAGAAAAAAAAACATGTTATTTCGCGAAAAAAAAATTGGACTCGGACTAATCGATGTCTACCGTCATTTATCAAAATTATATAACGTTCGACCGCATCTTTCCTAGCGATGTCGCGAACGAGCAATAAAACGAGAATCACGAAGGTGAAGGAGGGTGATAAAGCGAAGTACTCACGAATGTTATTCATGAAAATGCAAACCGCTTAGGACCGCTTTTACGAGAGTCCCTTTAAGCGTGACCTGGGATTGAGAGGGGTTGCAGAAGGGGAACGATGAAGAACGGAAAAGGTAAAGTGAGAAGAGGAAGGGTACCGCGAGCATTGCCTGCTCGTGTTAATCCCCCTGAAGAATAATTTGGAACGGCCAATTAAATGGCGTTAGAGGATAAAGGCAGATCTATATATAGGTATATTCGTAGGCGGTCCTGGAAATCTGCGCGCGAATTTTTATGACGTATTTATCTAGCAAAGCGGCTTATTACAAGTTTTCGAACGCCACACTAGAGCGAGAGAAATATCTATTCTCTCGTGAGAAAAGGATATTCCTGCTATTTTTTCGTGAAACGCGCGCTACTAAAATGGAATGCCTCTTATTGCTAAAACTCTGAACAATCATTAAGCAAGGCATTACGTTAGGACGATCTGCGAGACAATACAAAAATCCGAAAGAAATATACTCGCGAAAATCAAGCAAATATTAATGTTCTTGCTACGCTGTGTTGACGAGAGAATCAACGGATGGTGGCATTGTCGAAGGTTTTGAGGATGTCGTTCTCGCCAATCGAAAATCGATACCGTCGTATCATTAAGGTTCTCGTGCTTCTCGCTATTTTCACACGTTATCGCGGAGAGAGAACGTGGGGAGAGAGAGAGAGAGAGAGAGAGGGATGAAGCAAGGCGGAAGATAACGGAGCGGAAAAAAAGGAGCTCCGCGCTTCGCCGGAGGATTCGCTCGGAAAATCGGAGCTAATTAATTCGAGCGGAGAATTAAATTTTTAGCACCGTTTGTCAAACATTAATCATTATACACTATCGTGTATCTCCTGTCGTACGTGATCTTGCCGCGCTGATCGTCCGTTCATTTCGCGAACGAGATATCGAATGCGATATATATCGTCGCTTTTGTGTGTTCTGTCATTTGGCCTAGTTCACCCGCGAGCGACGTTTCTCTTTCAACGTCGATTAACGCGCGCGCGCGCCGTTTAATCGAATTCGCGGGGACGCCACGCCGGAGAAAATAGACTTCGTATAAAACCGATCAGTCCGACAAAAAATCGGTCTCGCTAATGCGCGCGTTTAAATTCCGACGTAGGCGCGTCGGGGAGAGGGATAGATAGAGGCGGCATTGTCGTCGTTGTTGTGTGGCTAATGAAGACTAACGAGAAACGGGGCACCTCGCATCCCCGAAAAAGTATGTCCGATTAATTAATTCTCGACGGAGCGAAACCGTGTCGGCGGAGTACCGGCCATTGGATTTTGTTGATCGTGTGTTTCCCGCTTTTTATGGATAACTTCGTTATCCGTTGCCGCGCTGTCATTTGTTCCCCGACCGCGTGTTTACGAAAATCTATGCGCGCGATATGCCCGGCTGAAATATGTATGTGCATTTTGGGGCCGTTATTGCCGATGCTTCGTTATTGCGCGAAAGCGTGTTAATGAGCTACGAAGCGAGAAAATATATCTCGCGGCTGCAAATTTATTAACGCACGAGATCGTGAGAAACCGCACACGTGGATCCTCATCGGACGTTATTATTGGCGATCCGGCCAATAGACGTCGCGATAACGATGCATGGAATTTAATGACCGAATCGTAAGGGGCTAATTAACGATCCCCGAAGGGCGCATTAGTATCTATATAGGTTAATGGCGATATTCGATCGACGGATTATCGTGAGCTAGAGAAATGGCGTTGACAAGAAAGCTGATTACGTATTCTGAATTGCGATAACGCGATCTTGTCAACGACGCGATATCATACATATAGGAATTTCGTCGACGATAAAAATAAAAATATATAATATTTCTTCATTTTATTCCCGTAAACTTTCACCGATCGCCGATGAATGAAACACGTGTACTATTTTCCGAATAGCAATTTAATGAAGACAAGTAATATTATACATATATGTTATCTCTCGCTTCCACTTTATCCACTGACAAGTAGTACATTGCATCAAGAAAGTTGCGCGACACTCTTGATGTAACTTAACGTAATCCCGTGTAATGGAAGTTACAATTTAGCCTGACACTGCATTGCACTCGATACCGCTTTGTTATAAACTTTCCTGCAAACTTCCAAGTTTTCGTTAATATCTTTCGATCCTATCACAACAGTGACCGCAAAAGTTTCCGCTCGAAGAGAAACAAAGTACCCTTGAATGCCTAACGATTGCTCGACGTTAAGTACTTGTTCAGGATGGCTTGTCCAGGATAGGGCGGTTAAGAATGTAAGAAATTTTCGAGCGCGTCGCAAACTGTCGTTATACGAAATCGTTTTAGCATTGTTGGCACATGTTGTCAGCAACGAGATTGTGAGACGAGGCGGAAGAATATTTAACACGAATTCTAAAAACACCATTTTATATTGAATATTGCAAAGTTGCGCGTAATGATATTACCATTAGTTAATAGATAATCGCCGAATTAACTAATTCGCTCTCGTACTTTACACATGTATAATCTATGCTTTCAATTAGCGGGAGATAATTATAAATATAGGTTCGCGCAAATAAAAAAAAACACATTAAGCTTTTAAATATCGCCTATTTTATGGCGATGCGAATTAGGATGCGTTGCTCCATGAATTTATCTCGAGCTTAGCGCCGAAAATTCGAGCGAAAAAGAAGAGGAGAGCCGCGCTAGAGAAAGAAACAAAATTCAGGGTCAACTCGGTGCTTCACTATCGCAATATTACGAGGGCGTAACTCGCGAAGGGAGGTTTATGTACACTTTACTCGAGTCCCTAAGCAAGCGCCTCTGTTGAACGGCGAACGTCGAGTATTTGTTCGAAAAATCCGATCTTGAACGTCTCAATTTCCGATGGCAAAGATGTCCGTGTGTGAATTGGGCTTTCGAAATAACAATAATGGAAGCGAACTGCGCAGGATATCCGCAGGAATCGCCGAATGTTGCTTCAAGCACAGATATTAGAGAACAAATTTAAAAAAAAATAGTGATCTTAATGGGAATTTGAACCTACAGTTTTGATAAATTAAAGTTTGAGAAAAAATAATAAAACCTTGTTTTTAAAAAGCTTCAACTGAACTTTATCTTATAATAGAAATTTAATTTTACTTCCTCGGTACAGATCTCGTATAATTAAAGATTGAATTTTTTAATAAACATTCATTATAAATACCAATGAAAGTACTTTGGTAGGATTTTGAAGCTGCAATCTTTATGAAAGGAATAATTCGATTAATAAATGATTACAAGTTGACGGAAAAATTAAATCATTAATTCAATTCGAAGAAGAAGCAGAAAAATTAATGATCAAAATATCTTATGCTGTATGACTTGAATTTGTAATCAAGATTGGCGCTTCACAAAGTATTGCTTAAAAAAGAAAACATCAACCTCAATTTTATCACACAACTATAAATAAAAGGATAATTTTTCCAGGAGACTTGATTATATTCTCGCGCGTCTCGTATACGTGTACACTCATTAACGATGGAAACAGTCACGTCGTTGTTCGTCGTAAAGTATCTAGCGCGATAATAATCGAGGAAAGCGCGAAAGAAAAGTAAATAAAATAACAATTTGAAACGGTTCGGAAACATGTGGCGGAAGGATATTCGGCTGTGTGGATCCCGACAATGGACACACGGCCAAATGGGATTAAAGGACAATGTTTATCGAGCCGTTCTCGCTCGCTCTGGCTTTCGCTTTGCGAGCTCCAACTCCAGCTCCAGTCTCCGGTTACGCCGGGACGTGCATCAAAGTCCACGCGCCGTCGCGTTCGCGAATTCTGAGGGGCGTTTTCGTCGATTGTTCCACGTCAAACAAAGGCGGATCCCACTGCGATGCCTATTGTCGGGCTTTTCGGATAAATTTCTGTTCGCTGTGGATCGCTGACCCAACGTCTCACCCCCTGTGTGTGTGTGTGTGTGTGTGTGTATCTGTTTTGTCTCGTTTCTCTCTCTTTGTTCATCCGTGAGAGTTCGTGCTTACGTTACACGTCGTCCTCGCCCTCGTAGATCGCGATATTCATGAAGAGGCGAGCGCTCCCCGACGTGAGCAACAAGTAAGTCGCATGCTTCGGATGGTAGGCGACCAACCAACCCCCTTTTGTTCCGCGAGTAACGACCATCTCGTCCGCTCTCCATTATGCGCTGTATGTATCTTTTAAACAATATCTGATGGGTACTTAAGACTGATTTAACGTGCGCGTTAATCCGCGGCGAACGAGATTGGTCGCGTAGCCGGAAAAAAAAGCGGGGGAGAGATTATTATTAGGGGCAATTAAAAACTTCCCCTAAAGCGCGAAAGCTGCTTCAGCGATTATTTCAATTATTTTATTGCGATGCGCTTTAAAGTCGATGAATAAAACTCTAGTAACTCTCTGTGTTCCTAATGGTGTTCGTTTTGAAAAATAACGAAAACGGTATCGAGATGCACTGTGACTTGTATTAAACGCATTCCTAAAATATATCATTTTCAAATAAAATAGCGAAAGCAAGAATACATAGTTTAAATGCCGTACAAAAAGAGCCGATAAAAAATCTCAATAT